ACCTGGGGACCCATAGAGGAAGGGAACAATGACTGTAATACTTTCCCATTGTTCTTTCATGCTTGATCTGAGGTGGTAAAGTATGGGCATCATTGAGGAGTATTTGCATTTTAAACTTTGTAGGATTTCAGAATAAAGCATTAGAAATTAGAAGGACACATATATACATCATGTAATGACCCAATTAGGGTAATTAGCATATTCATTGTTTTAAACATTTATCATTTGTTTATGATGTGAACATTTGAAGCTCTCACTTCTGTGTTTTCTGAAATATACATTATTATTACTATTACATTCATTATTGTTAGCCATAATCACCCTGCTAGAACAGTTGTATTCATTGATCAACCTCTCCCTATCTCTTTCTCATCCCATCCTTTCCAGTCTCTGGTGAACACTATTTTAGTCTTAACTTCTATGAGATCAACTTTCATTATTGTGCATTAATCAAAATTAAACTTGGAAAAAAGAAAGCATAGTTTCATGTGTGTATTGCTGCCTTAAAGAACATGCAGATCTAACTAATGAAATTGAATGAAGTAGGGTGGTTTCAACATTTAGAGTCTACATTAAATTTTTCTGCTCTTGAAGATGAGCCATATTGGTGACCATAGTTCATTTAATGAGAGGTGACAGGGATCCCTGTAGTGCTGACTTACCATGTCATGTCCATGTAATAGTTTATGCTTTCTAATGAGAATTGGATGCATCTAGGTCTGACAGTAGTGGGTTATATGGGAATTTTTCCTCTATTAAAGATAATGTTGATGGCAAAATGGTATTTTCAGAAGACCTTGGTCCTTGAATTACTGCTTGGAAGAATCCAAGCAGAAAGCGTGGGTATAAATGGGGTTTATTAAAAGTTAGGAAAGGAAATACAAAGGGTGCAGGTGGAGTCCACTGGAAGAGAGAGCCTGCTTTTCTATTTTGGGTGCTTTTAAAACCTACACTAATCCATGGGGAGGGCAGACCCAGGAGATTCCCACCTAATACTGAATGAGTGGGGAGGGGCATGTGTGGTTCCCAGGCAGGTGAGGGTGGTCTGGGCCATTCCTGGGCAACCTACATGAGCCCCAATTTTTTTCTACTACTAGTCTGCTTCAGTTACACATTTGAAAAACAGAGTCAAATGTAATTCAAATATTTACTACAAACCTCTTATGTGATAGATACTGAACACAAATAGTATTTCCAAAGAAAAGCCCTGGCTGTAAAGGATAGTCAGTAATTAAACTTATAGAACAAAATAAAATTAGGAAGCAATAGTCTGTGACCCGATATCTGTCATTTTGCCTTTCCCCAAATTTGAGATAATTTCTTTGGTGTACAATAAATATATCAAAATTTAAATCTATTGAACCAATGATGTTGAAAATATTTGAAGCCAAGTATCTAACTTCTTATTTTATTGGGTCATCCTTAAAAATGAAATAATTGAGGGCTGGTAGTGTGGCTCAAGTGGTAGAGCACCTGACTAGAGAGCATGAGGCCCTGAGTTCAAGTAAAAAAATAACAATGAAATTATTGAACCAGATTTGAGAGTCTGTTTCTCTACCCTGAGTTTAGTTGTGTCACTGTTTTGGTTCCAACATTACTTGCCAATGAGCAGGGACCAGCTGTCAATAGATGCTTCCATACTCTGCACTGGTGGCTGGGTACAGATCTCCTGCACTTTGGTGAGCAACTGCTGATGCAGATTTCATGGTACAAATGTGTAGTTTTTCAGGGAGGCAAAATTATCAGCTAGTGTTAAAAATCTTGAACACTATCAATATCACAACAAGATATATTTGTAGAGGTGGAGGTGTGACTCAAGTGGTAGAGTGCCTGTCAAACAAGGATTCAAACCCCAGAACTACCAAATGAAAATTTATTTATAAAAATATCAACTGTAGCATTATAGAAAACCTAAAACTAACAAAATCCAAAAAAAACTATTTAAAATAATTGTTCTATTATTATACAGTGACATACTTTGCATATATTAGTAATTATATTAAGAAAAAGTATGTTCCTTTATTTGAAAGAAGATTTTTTATTAAACTGAAGTCACTGACTGTTATATTATTTGAATGGATCTATTTCATTTTGGTGTGTCTGTCAACATTTTTTCCCATTTCTTGGGCTTGAATTATATTTTTCCACTCCTCATGCATTTCAGTGCAATTCTCAATGTATTTATTTTACAAGTATTACTGAGACACAAATTAGAAAATTATAAGAATGATATAGACACATAGATCAATTAATATCAACCACATAACCTCATCACTCCTTTGTACCTTATCTTTTCTATGCCATTGTAAATTCAGTTCAGTCCTCACCCATAATGAAAATATAACTTTAAGAAAAAGTATTTTCATAATAAATGCAGGGTGATTTTCATTGTCTTCTATCCTTTTATATGTTATAGTTAATGTTTAATTGACACACAATTATAAGTTTATAGGTACAGGGTGATATTTCAATATATGTATACATGTCATTATTAAATGAGGGTAATTATCATATCAAACACTTCCAACATCCACCATTTCTTTGAGAACATTCTAATTCCTCATTTCTAGCTATTTTAAAATATATAAAACATCATTGTTACCTATTGTCACCATACTCTGCAACAGTACAGGCAACTCCCATCTAACTGTAACTTTGTACACATTGACAAACCTCTCCTCATTCCCTGTCTCCCCTCGCCTTCCACTAACTGCCATTGTAGTCCCAGCTTGTATGACATCAACTTTTTCAGATTCTACACATGAGTGAGATCATGTCCTTCTGTGCCTGGCTTATTTCACTTAATATTATGTCCTCTAATTTGTATTTCCCTTATGATTAGTGATGTTGAGAATCTTTTCATATATCCATTAGCCATTTATATGACTTCTTAGAGAAATGTTTATTCAAGTCTTTTGCCTATTTTCAAAATTAGAATTTGAGCTACTGAGTATTGTGAATTTTTATATATTTTGGAAATTAATCCATAATTGATACATGGTTTCCAAATGTCTTCTTCCATTTGTTGTGCTGCTTTCATGCTTATTGGTTGTTGCAATATAGTGCCTATAGTTAACAATTTGTCAGGAGGCTATATCTCATGTTAAATGCTGTTACTACAAAAAAGCAACAAGATACAAAGAGACAAAATGAATCTGTTGGAGGTGATGGGTGTGTTTATTACCTTGATTGTAATGATAGTAACACAAATATATCCATATGTTCAAAATCACCAAATTGTATACCTTAATTATATTCAGCTTTTTGAATATTAATATCTCAAGAAATATGGAAAGAAAGAGAAAATGGTCTTTGGAAACATTTTTAGTTGTCAGAAAGACATACTTCCACTATGGGAAATTTAAACCAATGGGTGTGTGCATGTATTCTCAGAGCAGACTGAAAAGGCTTGCATCAAAATACTTAAGGGGAGTCTGGGAGTTCCTAACATGTAGAAATAGAAAATGTGTGAGGAACTAGATGTGCTCTTTACTCTGACTTGATCATTACGCATTGTATATATGCATCAACTTAACATACTCTACCTTACAAGGGTGTACAAACATTATACCTTGATAAAAAAAAAAGAATAAATGCTCCATGGGACTATTTTTGTGTGGTAAGGTTTTAGGGTTTTAAGATGTTCTTATTTTTCTTATTTATACTGCCTAGATTTTTTTCTACACCAAGCATATAGTAATTAAATAAGCAAAATGGACCCACATGTTATTAATATCTGGCCCTGAAAGCACAGTGGGAAATAATAGCTCTTGATCATCAGAGTAAATGGAAACTGTTTTGTGTCTTTTCAGATAGAAGAAACCTGAGCTTGTTGGAGGGCAAGAGACCAAGTTAAAGAGATGACAGAGCAGAGCAAATGAGTAGGCATATTAATAGGGAAGATATCCATAGACAAGAAATGACTTGTATCAGGCCAGGTAAGTTAAGGCATTACCTTTGAAATGACCAGAAGTTATTACTGCTATATGTGGCACTGAGAGTGTGTGTGAAGCTGAATGTCAAATTTGCCTGCTACACTCAGCAGTATTGTGCTAGATACGTTCTCAAAAATGATTTAGGCAAATCTTAAACCTGAAACAAGGTATGTGACATTCCAGGTTTCAATATATTTTCTCATATTTATTAACAGTAAATAAAATAACAATATAAAACTTATAAATTATAGTAAAGCACTTCAGAACTCCAGTATTGCCTCTAGTGAGTTCAGTTAAGTCCCTATTTCTGAATCAGGAGAAAAAGAGCTGGAATCAATAAAGATGTAGTTTCTGAGTTCAGCAGATCAGTTTCACATTGGTTGGAAACTGAAGAAAACCAGTGACCTGTGGAGGACACCCTCAGGTGGAGGCGGAATGAATAAGCTGCTTGACTCCCCAGACAGCAATACTCAGGGTCAGCTGTTAGCTAATCTTCTGGTACTGTGGCCTTGACATTATCTCTAGGACCAGCTTGTCTTGTGCCTGGGTGGGCACTGTAGGGGAGGAAGTGCAGGGGAGGGTCTGTCAGCCTCTACATCCTTCCTCTTTGTCATATCAGCCTTGGAGTTGACAACCGGAAGAATAATTGCTTCTTTACCCACCTCAGAGAATTTCAATAGCCTTGCGTTCTCATGCTCTTTTTTCTCTGTTTCCCATTTTGTCTCAGAGAAAAGGACATTCATCTTGGTTTGATTTTCACAGCCAGATTAAAAATAAATCATTAAAATAAAAAGAAGGAAAAAAATTCTATTTTTTCTTTCCGTGTTTGTAAGAGAACAGCCTATTAGAAGTCTTGAGCTCTCAGATTTCTTAGGAATAGGTAAATTCCTTCCTTCCAGTCTCAGAATCCTGGAATTTCCTTAAAACAGAGTAAACCCAGAGTGTTAGATTTACTCTGTCATATTTCAACCTGATTGTTTCCCATACTATGTATACTCACGCATGCGTGCCTGCACACACACGCTCACACTTGCACACACTCAGTGCTTTTCCCCTCCCCTTGAGTATAGTTCCTGCCTTCCCTATCATACCCAGTTCCCTGGCAACGTGTGGATGGCAGGAACAAGAGCTAGCAGTCAGATGCCACATGCTACCTTACACATGTCCAGACTGGTGGTACTTTAAACAAGACTTACTCGAGTGGAGTAACAGAAGCTAGCAACGGAGTCCCCTCCATGAGAGGATGGGAAATTCTCTTCTGAGAGAACTCAGGTGAGTCCTGACTGGATATTACCTTCCTGGGGAGAGAGAGCAGGAATCAGGAGGCTGGGTGTCTGCATTTGTAGCATGGGTGGGCAGGCTGTGCTTTAAGAGGTTGAATCTGAAGACGGTATTCTTAAGAGCACAGGAGACTCCTTTTGCTTTACTGTTGGGCAATGGTCAGTTGCTAGATGTAGAAAAAAATAGTGGATGCAAAGTCAAATTTCAGTTTCAGGAAAACTTGTTAATTAGTTAATATTTTTTTTACTGTGGCTCATGCAACATTTTGGGCATTATTCAGCGGGTCACACACCACAAATTATTTTATCTTTGTTAGTGTGAAATACAAATTTAACTGTGAATATTATCTGGCAATCCTAGACATTGTCACTTGAATCTTTCTGCTGCTCTTTCCCCTTATTTGGGGTACAGAACTTACCTTCCTATCCATGTGGTCAGTATGAGAATGACCAGTGAGGATTTTGAAAAGTATGGATGCAAAACAGGCACTCCCATGCTTTTGATTTCAATAATGCTGCTTTTTGGTGATTTTTAGCCTTGCTTTGCAAATTTTAGAACAGCTGAAGGTAACAGATTCTATTAATCTTACATTTTTCTTAATCTTAAGTAATTGGCTTTCGAGCATCCTGCCTCCCCATTCACTCTCCCAAAGAATAGACCCTCACTAGACCGACCTGCCCAAGGCAAAGCCCAGCCCACACTACCCGCATGTTCCAATGGTGCCTTCATTCTCCATTGGCTAACATCTAAGCAGACTCCCCATTCTGGATTTTAAGGTTCCGAATATTCTGAATCACTTGCTTATTCTCGTCTCACTTTTTGCATGCCTCCATTATCTAATTTAGCACCTAGTCTCCAACTGTCTCCACCTAAGAGTGAGTGAAAAGCACAGTCAAGATCCCCTATGTCTCCCTAGAGCTTAGCACAGTGCAGGCATTTAAAGAAAGTGTGTCACATTATCAAATTAAATGTACTTTTCTGTCCTTTCTGCCATCATTGTATTATATGGATTTTATACTCATCAACCTGACCATTTGCTACTGTTTTAATTTCAAGGTTTGCCTGACAGATCTTTGGCACCAAATTTCATTTTCAATCATATTTACTTATCAAAAAATCCATTCTGCAATCAATGCTTCATCTGCCAGGCTCGTGCCAGAAATTATTCTTTCAATATTCTTGCAGACAGTTTAGATACATTATGACACTGAACCTATCCTGCCAAGTGTCACAATTTCATATGTAAAAAGTATTTTAGATTGGGGATTATTTGGCCACAAAGATAATGCCTTTTATAATTTGATCTTCCTGAAACCTTTGTTAATATTCTGCAGAAACACTCTTTACATAAGTGTTTTCTGGTTGGTTTAAAGAAGCATGTATAATTTTGACTGAAATCAAGGAATGGAATGTATTGCTGTATGAAGTGTTCTGCTTTGAAATACTGAGAGTTAAGAGAGCCTTTGGTTTTACATTTTCTCTGTATGTTGTTTTAAAAATATTCCCACTTATACCTGCTACCATGTTCTGATAAGGTTGCAACCATGGACTTCTCTTACTTTATAAAAATTAAAGAAGCTGGAGGAAACAGATTCAACTTAACAGTGTCATAAATGAAGTCATTTAGACTCAAAGAGGTGGTTGACTAAAATTCATGATTGCAAAGATTCTTTCTGACTCTGCTCTTCAGTGTTTGCTTTCTGCTTATTCTCCTACAAGTCACTTTGGGAGAGATCTGTTTGGTGGACTTGAGCTCTATTTTAAAATCTGGTATCCAGGAAGAGCAAAGATCAGGGTGTTGTTTCAGGAGATCTTGTTGACATTCAGAATTGCAGCCTCCTTAGTCCAGTATCTTCTCTCCATTCTTCATACCACACACTTCAGGTGGAGTTCTTAGGACTGAAAGAACTCTTGAGGCTCAGCAAAGTTGTCATCTTTGCATTGATACCAGCTGCTGCTAATTATCTCAGGCTTTCTGTCTGCAAGGCACAGTGTTAGGAAGTTCAGAGCATTATCTCATGACTTTTCCATACTTAATCAGTGAAGTGGTTGTTATTGTTATCCTCACTTACTATGAGCTTAGAAAAATGCAACAAAAAATTAAATGGACTATATAATTGGGTACATTTAATTTTTGGTCATAGATGATATTTTATTCACAGTAAGTAAAATTTGGGAATTTCTGTCTTGAGCATTCCATGATTTAATGAACTTGGAAAGGCAGTTAGCAACATTACTTAAAGATCATACAAGCAGAGAAAAAGGAGGCAGTTTCTGTTATTTTTAAATAAATTAGGCAATTTTTCCAGTTTTTTGAGACATTATTGACAAATAAAAATTGTATTATTGAGGATATACAATGCAACATTTTGATACATGTTTACTTATGAAGCGATTACTAAAAACAAGCTAATTAGCATGCTATCACCTTAATTACTGATTTGTTTGTGTGTGTGTGTGTGTGTGTGTATGTGTTCATGGTTAGAACATTTGAGATCTAGTCTTATGAGTTCACCTAAAAACCATGAAGCCAAGTTAATCACTTCTATTCCATCAAAAATGCAGCTCTTACTACTATTCTTATCATTAGCATCATTTGCTTATTAATTGTATGCTTTTGTTGTCTTCCACTAGAATACAAACTCCTTGCAGACACAGACCACAGGTGTTTTAGATGTAGCATTTCAGTGCACAGGCATCTGAGGGATCAAGTCAACACTCATTAACTGACTAGTGGCCTGACTTTCTCAATTACCAGTTCTACTCCCAGAAAGTGCTGCATGCATTTTGCCAAATGCATCCTCTTTGGATTTGAATTTATCTGTTCCTTTTCGTAAGCTGACCAAATTCTTTCAAGTTCCCTTTGCCCTGCTGGATTGTGATCTTCCTGAAGCAGGTGAATGTAGGTCTTGTGATGGCTCCACACTTTTCACATGTTGTTGCCTGAAACAGCAATAGTGTCCAGAATAGTGATTAAGGTCTTGATCTTTAGAACTGAATCATATGTGTTTGATCTCATTCCTGCTCTTCCTGTAATTCTTGACAAGTTCCTTGTCTTTCTGACTCAATGTCCCATCTCCAAAGTGGATATAGAAGATTGCCAGATCTAGGTTTAGTGGTGAAGATTAAATGACATGATATCTAAATGTTAGCAGAGTCATAGCAGGTAGCTATTATTTAACTATTTTTGTTATCTGAAGTTGTTTTAGTATTCAGATTCTTGAGTAATAGTGTATTTTGTTTAATGAATCTCTCCTGGGAATTACTTGACTAATAAGGAGCCTCATTCAAATGCAGTAGAGCTACAACAGAGAACAAGGTAGAAGAATTCCACCTACTGGGACTTATTCTAGTGTGGAGAAATGGTAACAATTAAATTATTAATTGATTGTGATAAGTACTACAAACAAAATACAGCAGAGGGAGGAATTGAGAATGGCTGGCAGGTATGTGTATCACAGGTGTGTGTATGGTATGGAGATCTGACCTGTAAGGAGAAGTCTAGGTAATGAGAATGCTCAGACATCTTAGTTATTTTCTGCTGCAATAATAGAATAGCTCAGACTGGGTAATTTGTTTCAAAGAGAGATTCATGTCTCACAGTTCTGGAGGCTGAGAAACCCTGGCATAGCGCCAGGATCTGGTGAGGAGGGCCTTCCTGCTGCATCATAATGTGATGGAGATTGAAGGGCAAAGAGCATGCATGCAAGAGGGCAGGCTTTTATAACCAATCCATTCCTGTGATAACACCATTATAGTCATGAAGGTGGTTCCCCATGACCTAATCACCTCTTAAAGACTCCACCTCCCAATACCATCAGTGAAAATTATATTTCAACATGAATTTTGGTGAGGTTACTTAAAGCACAGCAGCTGTCTAAGCAAAGATACATGGGATTCACTTCCAGACATAGAGATTATAGGGAAAGGCTCTGAGTCAGGTCTGAGCATGGATGCAGTAGGATGGGAGGCTAGGAGGATATTGGGTCAGTGGGAGGGTTTGGGCTAGTACATGACCACTCCCCACTCCACAGATGATTGTTCCAAGCTGTTTCCCCCTCAATCCTGTACTTTTCTCACTGTCTAAAATCACTCTGTTCATTGGGTCATTTCTGCCTGCATTGCAGATGCATCGATCATCTAACCTCAGGTAGAAAAGTATTTTTTGAGACCATAGATTGCCTCCTCTACTCCATAGTCTATGCCATCTCTCTTGTCCAGGTTAAATAGCCATGCTGTCTCTAGGTTTCAGTCTTTTAGTAACTTCCTATTTCTTAAGGAAACACTTAAGTCAATGGATGGAGAAGGACCATCAAAGTGTAAGATGAGATTTTGTGGGCAATAAGAGGAGGGAAAATGAACACCTGTGCTCAGAGTTGAATTTAAATCATGATGACAAATGTTCTCCTTTAAAAATGAACCAATACTTCATATGTGCTCCAGAGACTTGAGTCAAAACAAAACAAAACAAAAAACAAATAAAAAAAAGAACCAATATTGATGGGAAGCCTTTATGAGATAATGTTCTTGACCTCAAGAGAAAAATGAAACATCCAGTGGAAATGGCTTTGGAAACATATTTTAAACATATATAGGATCTGCAAAAATATTGTACTTAATCCTTCTGCTGTAGCTTTAAGAAAATGAGAGAGGACTGGAGGCATGGCTCAAGTGGTAGAGCAAGGCCCTGAGTTCTAACACCAATATAGCCAAAGAGAAAAAAGAAACAGAGAGTGATTATATAGCTTCAGATTACAATTAATCTGAAAATGATTAAAGCTTGTTAAGGTCACCTTTGCTTTGGAGTTGTGAAACCAATGTGTAACTTATGATGTCAAGTCATCTGTCATTTCACCTAAACCACAATAGCCTTTTCAGATAAGGTAGATGTTAATGTGTTCTAGGCAGAAGCACAAACAATGCTCTAAAGAAAGAAGTGAAAGGAAGGAATGGGATTCTGAATTAGGAATGGAAGGAAGAAAGGACATTTT